CGGTGTATACATGATCAAAAAGTATATTCAATGAAGTTGTTATCTCATGATACATGGTAGAGAATGCAATATTAGCCACACTTAGAAGGTGGAAAAGAGATGCATAAAGATACCATGATTCTCCCACTTCACATGATGAATTCATGGCAGTAGTGGGATTTGATTCCAGATCTCTTCAGTTGTACGTTACTACAAGAAAAGAAAAACATGTAGGTGTGAGAACAGAAATGTCCATATTCTTCTGACATCTGTTTGCACATTAGCACTTTCCACCTACACTGTAATCTGTTTAGAAGAGAAAAGCGGGTGAAGATGATTTTGTGTGCCTTAGTCGAGTCCATTCCTGAGGACTCAATCCTGCAGTTCTCAAACAGGCAAATTTTTTGAGATTCCTGTGTGCAGTAGAAAAGCAGACACTGGTCCTTCATGACCTGAGAAAGCTCTTGAAACCATAACTTGACTAAAAAGAAAAGTGTCAACTAGCAAGTAGTGAGCTACACCAACACGTGAGGGGTTTGGTCAGAGCTGAGGTGCTCTGTAGAGCTCAGTGCAGCTCATGAGTCAGTAAGCTGCATTATAGTCCAACCACGAATTTTCTTCAGCTAGAGTGATTTCACAACAGAGAACTACTCTGGGGCAGTGACAGTCACAAGTACTAATATCTAGAGACTCTTATTTCTAGTAATTGATCTTTATAGTTATATTAGAGAATGAAGTAGATGGTGTCTCTAAGAGCATTTTTAACAGTCAAGGATGTCATACGCAGTCTGTTCATTAGCTTGCAGCACAATGAGAATTCCTTCTGTAATAAAGCATAGCCATTAAAAGGTCAATCAGTTTTTCTCCCAAGGATGTAAACTGCATAGTCTGCCAAATAATCCACCCACTCTTAGGATATGCTAACATGCTATCACAGAGAGCTCTGGAAATCTATATTTCATTTGGCTCAAAGTCAGGGCTTCTGTCTTCAAGTCTTAAAGTAGTGCTTTTATGAGAGATTTTTTTTAATCTGTGTTTTACAGACACAGGACATAGTATACTGTATTTCTATCCTCAGATTGAAGTGGTCTCTGTTTATCATAGTGTAATCACTGTGTTCAGTTTCTCCAGTTTTGCAAGAGCATTAGACTGACAAGTATTTTTGTTATTTTCCATGTCCTGAAGATCATGGCATAACGTGTACTGTGTCATAAACAACCAAGAAATGGGCTTCTACAAGGATTCAAAAGCTGCTGCTTCTGGCATTCCCTACCACAATGAGATTCCTGTCAGCTTGAAAGAAGCAGTCTGTGAAATAGCAGTCGATTATAAAAAGAAAAAGCATGTCTTCAAGCTAAGGTAAATCTGTCCAAGCATCTTTATGTTAGCCTAAGTTGTGGTGGGTATGTTCACTTGACAAATTCATTGGCAGGATCCAGCCCAAGAACTGATTGTGAATATTAACTGCAGAATCTGCTTTTCTGAACAGGGTCTTCCCAACCCTGGATACATGGTCCATATCAAAGGTAGCAAGCACTATCAAAATAATCAGTGCACTTTATTTATGTCTGGGACAAGACTAGGTGTGTATTCCTAAAGCGAAGAGCCTGCATTTAAAAATGCTGAACTTTCCAGATATCAATGACATTTTCAGGTTTTGAACATGTAGTTGCAGACCATTCATACTGAAGTGTATGAAGTACTTAATGTTCAAAGGATTTAAAAAAAGCTTTTATTTCCAAAGTCTTGTGTTTGTTTTAATGATCAATCTTTTAGTGCCCACAGTTAAAAAAAAATATTTTACTAGTACACAGCTGTCAGGTGATTCTTTCAGAGGAGACTCAAAGTATGAACTGATCCCATTGTGGAATCCAAGATGGAATATTAAGTTGATATTGATGCAAGAATCCTCTAAATTTGATATAATCCGTATTTAGGGAAACTTGCTGTTAGCCTTCTTGAACACAGCCTGCAGCTATGTGATTCATCCTCCATGTTATTTCAAACAACTCTGAAGTGATAATTTAAGAATAAGGTGTTCCAAATATGAACTTAGGCAGAAAAAGCAATTGCCCTTCCTTCCCTGTCACCTGTATCAGGTCTCTTGGGTAACTGCATGTACATGTAGCTTATTTTCTTCACTCATTCTCATTAGAAGAATTCCCCAGAGAGTTATGCTGGCTCATCGTGGCAAAACTCTTTCTCCAAGCTGAGAAGGAGAGGCTCAGTTCTGCAAGGGGTGAGGTCTCTGTAGATCTCACATGCAGGCAAGTCTCTCACTAAAAGGGCTAGTGGAAAATAAACTGGAAATATTTTCCTTTATTGTTTAAAGAAGAAATACAGGCATAGTTACATTCTTCCAAGTGTCTTAATTTACATTAATGTTATTTTACTGATTAATACTTAATTTCATTTCATAAATAGATTTTAAAATGCTTTCATTTTCTGGGGAAAGCTCAGGAAGCCTGCAATGCCGTTCCCACTGACTCTGCTTCTGACTTGTTTCAATGCCTGAAGTTATTCAGTCCTTTTTTATTAATATGTCTTCACATAAATCATTTCCTATATTCCAGTTAAACTCCCTGAGTAAAATCAGCAGAGAAAGCAGCAGCAGCTATTCATGAATAATATACAGTACAGTATCTTGAGTCACCATCACAGTACTTACGACAGCAGGGCAGCTGCAGAATTTTGACAGGTTTCTACAAAAGCAGTGAAATCTCTGGGTGTTGTTTGTGACTTCTGTCTTTTTAAAGTATTGAATAAACTTTTATACTATCGTTTCCAAAAGAGAAGAGATCTGCCTGAAAGAGCAAGTACTGAAACAGCAGTCATCGGCTGCTGAAGATGGCAACCTCCCTCTGCAGTGCATCCTGACATACTGGAACACAACCACTATCATAAGCATGTATAGAGACCAGAATACAGTGTGTGTGGCTGCATCTGCATGATAGTATGAGATATTAAAACATTAGTTGTTGGGGTGTATTTGTGTGTATATAGATGTTATGACTGTCCCATATGTCTCAGTCTGATTACATACTGTAATTAAAAAAGCATGAGTTGTACCACTGTGATTATTACTAAACTAAATTTGTGATGGCGGTTTTCTTTGCAGATTGACTGATGGCAATGAATACCTCTTCCAAGCCAAAGACGATGTAAGTTTGTTTTTCTCACCATGCATTACTGATGTGGAATCTGTGCTGTTGTACAACTGGGAAAAAAATGGAAAGAGCTGGGGATACACTTTGATTTCCTGGTCTTGAATCATGTATGAATATGTGTGTTACGTTTAGATTCAGAAGCTCACACAGACAAACCAGGGCTTCTCAGATACAAGGTACAGGTTGTAGTAGACAGCCCCTGCCAGATGATGAGTTAGGACTGTGTTTAATTTCCCACTGCTATCCATTCCCCATCTCCAGTGTTGAATGAATGAGAGAGAGAGAATGTGGTGCGTGGATTTTAACAGCTTTCTACCTTTGGGTCTTCTTGAAGGAGGAGATGAACACGTGGATTCAGGCCATCACATCAGCTATCTCATCTGATAAAATCGAAGTGTCCCCAACCACTCAGAGCACTCCAGCTTCCAGCCGTGCCCAGACCCTGCCTGCCAGTGTCACGATAACCAGCGAGTCCAGTCCTGGCAAGAGGGAGAAAGACAAAGAGAAAGACAAAGAGAAAAGATTCAGCCTTTTTGGTAAAAAGAAGTGAACTCCATCTCCACACACTGCACTTCTCTGACCGTTCCAGTGGAATTCCAGCATGCGAGCTCAGAACCAATACGTTACTCTCTGTGCCTCATGTTCCTCAATGTGATTGACATTTTTTTATTTATAGAGCGTTTTAAAATAAAAAGCCAACAAAAAAGAATCTAAAGTTACAAATGTGTATGAGGTGCATTGGGCAGCTTCTGTAGGAGAGGGAGGACCAGGTTTGGGGGTTTGTTTTTGTTTTTTTTTTTAAATGAAGTTAATGTAGATTAGATCTTAATATTTAAACTGTTCCTCAATTTTGTGAGGCTGTCTTGGAAAATAACCCACTCCTAGTGCTATTGGTATGCAAGGCAGCGGTGCTTTCGAATCTACTGTGCACATCAAAAAACAATGTACAAATTTTCAAAAATGTTCACTTCCATTTAAGGTTGTTATGCTGAGTCTTGACTAGTAGAGCCTCCCATTACAATTCTAACATTTATTAAAATGATAGTGTATTATCTTTGCTGTAACAGAGTGCAGGTATGCATTAACTTACAGACAAACCATTTATATCCTGGCATTGGTTATTAACACAACCTGAAGCTTTTCTGCATCAAGTACGACAGATAAGAATGTTGGTGTATGAGATGGATTAGCAGGCTGATACAGTTTTAAATAATCTGTAATTTCAAATTTTTTTTTTTTGCCGAAATACATTATATTGTATGTTTCAGATAATTCTAGTACAAAGTATAATAAGACTAGATGTATAATAAACCCTTTAAAATCATTGATAAGTGTAAAAGTGGAACTGAAGCATTTACTGGAAAAGTAATGTTACTCAAATGGTTACTTGCTTGTCAGCTACAGCACTGTGTGTTATAATTTTGCTACATTACCTTGCTATTTGATACATAGTGTGCATTTCTGTCACTGTAACTATTGTAATGAAAAATTTTCATCTTACTGCACAATCAAAAATTACATTTAATAGGAATGAACTTTCAATGACTGGGCCTGTAGTCAAGAGTAGTACTGGAACTGGCTTTCAGTTGTATTGAACTGTACCTCTAGACTTTTACCCTATCTGTTAAATATATGCTATGTCATTAAATGCTTTTAAAACTAAATATGCTGGTTAAGTTTCTTATTTCATTTCTGATAATGTTAAAACATAATTTTGAAAGAGGATCAAAAATAAAGTTATTTTAAAATGTCATCTCTCCTGTGCACTGAAACTAATGTCTTAATGTGTAATTCCATTTTCTGTGTGAAAATTCATACTGAAATAATTTCTTGTTTTCTCACCACTTTTCCTTACCTTTCCTTTTCCTTCACTTCCCACCTGCCATCCCTTTCGTCCTGCCCCTCAGACTGTGCCAAAGAAAGAGAATAAAAGGAGAAGGGATGGAATTAAATCAATGTTGTATAAAATGTTTCAAGGTAGATTTTTTTTGTTGGAAAAAAATCCAACAGAAAAAAAAAATGGAAGCAAGGGCTTGAGCAACTGAATGAGTTACCTGAATGTCTACCTGATTGACAGAAATATCCATGTATTAGTTTGCAGCAAATTATTTTAAGTAAGCCTTGTTCTCCAGCTTTCTCCTTACCCTATAGTAGTTTGCTCAAGTGCTTAAGCTCTCAGTAAATCAGGCAGTAAATGAATTTTATAATTGACTGAGGTGTTGTTGTCCAGCCCAATTTAATTTCACTGATATTGTGTCAATTTTTTAAACATCACTCTCTTGAGATACAGCCACCCTTGCTTTCAAGTGAGGACATAGATTTAATGCAGCTAAGGTGAGTTCCAAAGTTCAGCATTTCCTTGACCTTTTCAACATTTTGAAGACTTAGCATCTTTTCAGAATTTTCTTTAGGTTGGATGACATCAGGGGAACTATGTGAAAGGGAAAGTTCCCAGAAGACCAAATAGGTATTGAAAATTTAAAAATCACTGAAATATACAGAACCTGTTGTTGGGATTTTGTTTGGTTGTTGTTGTTGTTGTTTTTTTTTTTTTTTTGTGAATACAATTTTAGATGGCAAGTACATACAGTGCAAACAAGCATGTCTAAACCAGTTTCTTGAACATATGACTAATACAGTGTCTTAATTCTTTTCATGGATTGTACTGTTTTATGGATTCTCTTTTTTTTTCTGAAGTTATGGGTTATTAACTGAATATTCATGCATGAGTTTTTACTCCTGTAATAAAACATTGTTCCAGCCCAAATAGTAGTAAAATGTAGGATAATACCACCAGTCCTGTAAAAATGTAATACAATAAAAAAACTGAGGTTTAATGTCAGAATATGAAACTCTTAGTTGATAAAAATGCATCAAAATGTTGATGTCTGTTGATGCCTTACTATATTTGTCACTGCAACGAAGCTATTACAATAGCTATGTCATTTAGAAGATCAATCTTTACTGCCAGTTGTGTGAGCAGTAATTTGGTTGATTATGCCTTCAGAATTCTGTTTTTCTTGCCTCTTACCTCAAGTTGTTCCTGAAAACTACTTGAGTAAAGTCCTTTCTGCTTAATAACTAATTTCAAGTTGCTGAGGAACAAGAGTGAATTCTGAAAAGTCTCACCTAGTTTCCCTTTTGAGTGTAATTTATAAGGGTGCAATTTCCATGCAGAGGGAATTGGTGGGACAGGAAGAGCATCCTCTGACAAAGCCAGGTCGAAAAGACAAGTCTTGGGTCAATATGATCCCATCCTGTTTAAATGCTGAATACCTTCAGCAGAGCTGCACATTTCGTGAAGGGGACAGGGCGCTTAACAGGTGCTGGAGCCACTGCAGAAGTTCAGGGCAGCCCTCTTTTGTCGTAGGTATGTTAGTTTCAGAAGGGGGTGCTTTTGTGAAGGATCTGCTGAAAAACGTTAAAGAAAACTAGTATGGATGACAGAAATGGGACTGAAATAGGGGCAGGTTGTTGCTGCCACTATTGTTAACTATTGGAGTGGTGCAATCCAAAGAGTTATATAGCCATCTCTAAACATGGTTCGGCCCCGTTGATGGATGGGGTCATACTCCTTCCGATTACCACACTGAAGAAAAATGAGGCTTTCTAGTACAGCTTCAGACTGTACCGCAGTTTCTTTTTGTTGGTACGTTTTCCCAGGTGATCCATTTTTAAATTGCTTATGTTTTCTCTGGAGATGCATTGCAAAAGTAATATATATGTCGAATTTTAAATTTTCCAAAGAAAATTAATGGAAGCCAACTGCCTTTCAGGTACATTGCCACCATTGTTAGGGACACATCATCCCCTAGTCAGGACTGTCTGTTTTCCTTTTTTTGTCTTGGTGAGTGCTTTATATTGAAGTCCCAGCTGGGTTCACAGAGCTGCACCTGAATGTTCCTCCCTATATCCTCAAGAATCATGTACAGTGAGGATAAAAACACCACAATTTGTGAACCATGGGAATTAAGCATATGTTGAGTAGGAGGGTTTTCTTTTAGATTGATGCAAATAATCTATTAATCCATCTGTTCTGCATAGAGAATGTGTTCTGTTGTAGCGATCCACTCTGTATGGGGAAAATTAACGGTAAAAGTAACAGAAATGTATGATTAAATTCTGTTCCTGTGAAATACTGTTTTAGACTGTTTTTCACTTCACTGTGTTTCTCTTGATTGAGTTTGCAGAGAATGGACTTTAAATGTGTAGGGTCTTTATCAATATACTTTTGTAATAAATAGCTTGCAGGTCTAATACCATGATGCCTTTTATTTGTGGATGTTTTCATTTTTCTACCATTACTAAGCATAGGTGGCTGTGTAAAAACAGAAACTTAACGAATTGGAACAAATTCAAAATAAAAAGAGGGGTACTGTGCTAAACGATACCCTTAATGTTCAAAAATTACTGTAAAAAAAACAGAACTCAGCTCTGTTGATGCTACAGCACTATCTGTAGACTGAACAACAGAGTACATCCTGACAAGAGGAATTGAAGTCCTCAACCAGCTGAAGAGGAAGAAGGGTTCAGCTTGTTTTCTATGGCCTGGTATCAAGAATACATATTTTGAGGTCAATCAGAATATAATGGTAAGGTAAGAAGGCAATGTGTTCCTAATGCAGCAAAGGACAACATTAGAATTTGAATTGTGCTTGTGACTATGTACATGCAGGCTGCTTGTTCTTCAGCAAGACCGGGATTTGCCTCTTCTAATCGCATTCTTTGTTTCATAATAAACTCCCCATGGGTAGATGCCCAGATCCCCATGATCCAACAGAGCTCTCTGTTGCACATGCAACCAGTTGAGTTTATTTGCAAACTAAGCTGATTTAGTAGTTGGGCAGAAGGAGAACATAGCTAAGATAGGAATAGCAACACAGCCTTTCCGACTGTAATAATGAATGTCTGGCTCCTGTTGGTGGGAGCCAGACAGAAAGCTGAGCTGAAGATGTTTAGCACTCGACAGTTGTATTGAGGTTATCCTAATTCTCAAACTACAATGATATGCTGCCTGTGGTGCACTTCACTCTACTGTTCATTTCACTTCTTCCTGAGCAGCTTGGGTTTACAAACTCGTTAGTGACCTGGCCAGCAAATTCCTCCTTTGATTTCTTTAATCTTGGTACCTCAGTTGCCCTGAGGGGCCCTGACAGCATTGAAACCTGGTTGTTAGCACTTTAACATTTAAAGCAGTAGACTTCACATACATTGGTTGTTTTGTTTGTTTGTTTGTTTGTTTGTTTTGCTTGTTTGGTTGCTCTTTTTTGAGTAGCTTGATTGCAATATAAATTGCCGTCTCCTCCACTCCTCCCATTTGGTTATCTGAGAGCTGAGCTATTACAAGGCAGAAGCTGCAGCATGGCTGTGAGCACCCCAGTAACTACTGAAATGGAAGAGAAAATACAGCGGAGTAGTCTCCTCTTCAGTGTGTTCTTCCCAGCCCAGGCAACGCCCTTCTGCAAAGGTAAATCAGACACAGGAGCTGGGGCCTGTCCAGGGCAAGCGATTTCTGGCATAGGTAACTGCTAATGTGCCACAGAGCTATCATAAGTTGGAGCTGCCTGAGAAGTTGCCAGAAAGGTAATTTAAAGACAAAAGTACAGCCTGCTTATGATACCTAGCAGAAGCTTTCTCCCCAGAATTTTGAAAATACACCATAGTTTAGTACTTAGTATGTGCTTGCTAATTTAGTATTTATTCTTTTTTCCTTTAAGACAAAAAATCTAAACATCTGCCAAAAAAATGCAAACAGGCCTTCATGTCCAATTTAAGAGATCCATTTTCTGCCAAATAATCACCTTAAAAATAAGTTTTGATATGTACACGTATGTAATAAATACAACTGTTTTCTCATCTCCTGCTTTCTATTGTACAAAAGTTAAAAAATAAATAAAAGAAACAATGTTACTTTCTTCCTAGCATAATAACCATAATAGTTCAACACTTTCAGATAGATAGCTGGGCGGTTTTATTTTTAACTTCTTTTAAAGAACACTTCATATTTGTTTCATGTCTAGTCCTAGTTATTGTAGTAGAGAGACAAAATTTCAGACTGTATGTGATACATAACTGATCTAATAATGCTGGACCATCACTTACCTAGCAAGATATTGCCCCCAGTCTATGTATCCAAATATTTCTATATTTGGATATAAACGATATGATTGGGCAAGATCCTACTTTTGCAGGGCTTTACTTGTTTTTGTTTCTCCTCAATTTAAAATGTACCATAAAAACTCTATTTCCACATTAGGCAGTAATCATTTTTCAACACACAGATAGCAAAGCTTGCCAGTTTTAATTCATTCTGATTTTGCAAGGCATATGAAACTAACATATCAAAAAAAAAAAAAAAAAGCAAAGTATTCTTCAACATCCTTAAAAGACTCAAATAAGTTCATCAGTGCGCCTTGACCATGCTATCTCTGCTAAAACTTGTTCAACAGTAGCAATACTGTTCTGATTTGCCCCTTGTTCCACAGTCTGTCTAACGCAAATGGACATTTAACTCCAGCACATCATTCAGGTTAGCAAATTGATTTATAACGAATAACTCTTGGAATGCATAGAAAATATCTGCAAGCCCTTTGTGGTCTGTAAATAATGCGTGTACTGCTTTGGAGCATTTGTCCAATCCTAGATGTCAAATGCAATTAACCATTTTAGATAGTATTTCACTACCCAGAACACAAACAATAAGCATAATGACATGGGTGATGGTTCTTTAAATTAACTGAGAAGACTGAAAGTTAGTGACATGCAGGCCCTATTTAACGTGCTATAGATCTATGTTGTTTTTTATCAACAGTGATTTATTTATTTATTTATTTAATAACATAGTCTTGATTCTTCTATTTCTTCTTGCACAAACAAATGCTTGTGGCTGTGCATATCTACCTCACACAACTTAATTCAGTATTTTATAATTTAACGCATGCAGTATCACATTAAGGTACTTTCGAAACATCTTTTTCTACCTTATCAAGCTGTAAACAGAGTATGTTTATTTAAATATGGGATAAAAAATGTTGTTTCTGTATGTTGAAAAGTAAAATATTAGTCTCGAATTGATTTAATTCACTAAGCAACAAACCTGCAGAAGGGCTAGTGCTTTAATCCACTTTTGTACTTAATGTCTTTTATGACTTCTAAGTAATAGAACAAAATACATTGTGGAATTATTCATTTTAATGTGTGATTTCTTGAATTATATCTCTCAATGAAATACCCAAGGAAAAATGTCAAGGTTTTTGTTTTTGCTTTTCCCATAGCGTTAGCATGATTTTAAACAGTCTATCTGATTCTTTCTGTACAATATGGATGAAGATAGTTAAGACTTGGTTCATCCTCTTCTAAGTCATAAACTGAACTCTCAAGTTTTCATGAAGAACACTGCATCTGGTTCAACTACAGATAACAGGCTAAGCAAACAGGACTAGCTTCTCTGCTGCAGTTACTTCACAGAGCTCTCTGTCTATACACAGCAGCACTCTCTGCATGGTCAGGACCTAGCTGAGGAGTCGGCATTCAGCACATGAAGCTATAATCCATTTTCTCCCTTACTGCTGAATGTAATTTATCCCATTGTCAAGCATTTTTCTCTAGCCTTGTGACAGCAATTCAGTGAATTCTAGTGGATTATTGTTCTTTGCTTCAAAGGATTTGAAACAAGATTAAAGTAAAAATAAGGTGAGGTATAGAACAAAAACACAATTCAATATTTTAAATGCTGTAGTGTAGGTGACAAACAGTGAGAATAAAGAGAAATATATTGCAACATAGATCAACTAAATGCAAAAAGCAAAATAGTTAGGTATTTTGCTCCTTATTCAGCTTGTACCCTGTTGCTCTGCATTCTAACAACTGCCCAGCAGGGCTGAGATGCCTTGTATCATGTGCTAATGCTATCAAAGCAAATCTAGATTAGTTGTGTGCGCCATCACCTGTCATCTGAGTCTCCCAGCGCAGCCAAGGCAGCAGAGTAGCTTCACGCAGCCCACGTGATCACATCTGCAGTGTGTCATAATGCAGCATACGCAGTGTGCACCCGGAGCAGCCCGAGGGGGAGAGCCTCTGCTTCTCAGCCATCACACCTGCAGGATAGTCCAGAACAGATCAGGAAACTGTAAATGGCCTACTGTGTGAGATAATTTGTCATTTCATACTTCATAGAATAAATTGATATTTTGTGCTTAAGTATCTATTTCATAATGAGTTTTCACTTGCTTTTTTGAGCTCAGCATGCTGATTAACCAAGTGACTGTGAGCATCAAAAACTATGACAGTTCAATTACGCCTGTTTTTCTATGTATGAAATATTATTAATTTGCTTATTAAAATAATAAATCTCACAGTCTTTAAATTACATGAAATGCTGTGATGGTTCACGATGTTAGAACTGTAGAAAATGTTTGGGCCTAACATGAATTTTTTTACTAATACTGCTATTATTTTACTACCACACCTAGCTGAGAAAAACTGTCCCTTGTTGTCAGAGTACCATCATTATCCATGAGAGGTCACTCTATCCAGAGAGATGCTTAGCTGTAAGAGATCTGCTCTCACCTGCACAATACACCTGAATAATAAAGAAGTTTTTGGCACTCACCCTACTGGTCTTGACCATAAATTAGCTATTCATATCTAATGAGGCTAGATTCTGTACTCCTAAGGGAATGGAAGAAAAAAGATTGACAATGATTACTCACATCAATCCATATTTTTTAAATGGCTGTTCACTACAATACCGTGAACAGGAAGAAAATGTGTTTCAAAATAAACTTGTTAAATATTTTTACTTTGTATTTTCTCACTGCAAAAAAAAATTGGAAGTTTGCACTAGATTCTAACAGGGCAGAGACCATATCTTGGGAAACCAGGCAAATAATGTTTAAAACTTTATTGGTTTATTAATTAAAAATAAAAATAGAATTGAACTCCACAAACAGTGGGTCCCCATCTTGAATATCATCAGCATGCTGAAATCACAGTGAAATAAAAAGCTGTTCCCCTCGCTACAAGAAGTACATCAAGGTGCTTGAGCGAGAGTCCAGAGAAGGGCAATGAAGCTGGTGAGGGGTCTGGAGGGCAAGTCTTACAAGGAGCAGCTGTGGGAGCTTGTTGAGGGATTTTTGAAACAGCAAGGAGGCCATGACTTGCTCCAGCTGAGCAAACCAAGCCACCAGAACGACTGCAAGGGGTTCCCATGACGATGTTCCCTTACCACCCCATTGAGGAATTAAAAATATTGTTGCCAACAGCTGGCTTCAAGGACAAGATCTGCATGACTGCTAATCACAAGGTTATTTTGTTTGTTTGTTTGTTTGTTTGTTTTTTCTTGCACGTGGGGTTGTTTTCTTGCAGTTGTTTGTCTGAGTGCTTTCAACCAATAACCTTGTGTGAGATGTTATCCGCCCCTGCTAAATTTGCTATAAAAGTCAAGCTATTCCGGTAATAAAGAGAGAGCATGATCTGATCATACTGGTGTATGTCATGACTTTGGCTGTTCTTCCTGCAACAGGAGCTGGGATTGTTTAGCCTGGAGAAAAGGAGGCTCAGGGGTGACCTTATCACACTCTACAGGTACCTTAAAGGAGGCTGTAGCAAGGTGGGGGTTGGCCTGTTCTCCCACGTGCCTGGTGACAGGACGAGGGGGAATGGGCTTAAGTTGCGCCAGGGGAGGTTTAAGTTGGATATTAGGAAAAACTTCTTTACTGAGAGGGTTGTGAGGCATTGGAATGGGCTGCCCAGGGCAGTGGTGGAGTCACCATCCCTGGAGGTCTTTAAAAGATGTTCAGATGCAGAGCTTAGGGATATGGTTTAGTGGAGGGTTGTTTAGTGTTAGGTCAGAGGTTGGACTGGGTGATCTTGGAGGTCTCTTCCAACCTGGGTGATTCTGTGATTCTGAGAAACAGAGTTTGAATCAGACCACGTGTGAAATTTGAAAGTTAAGAAATGTTAGGGTGGTAAATTTAGCTTTGTTGTAAAGATCTGGATTATAGGAGGCTGTTGCTTCATTTTTAATATTTGATAGTTTTGATTAAATAAATGCTTTATTTATAGCAGATGAAATTGTTCTCAGAAAATATCATCTGTACCTATAACCACTGCCATGTATAAAACTTCAAAGAAAGTCCTACACTGGCAATCACCTAGTTGAAGAAATAGGAGGTGTACACAACAGAATTATATATATGTACATATATATATATATACACATATATTTATAATGGTAAGTCAGAAGTCAGTAACAGTCACACTGTGGCCAGTGATGCCAGTGCCAGAACACCAAAACACCCCCAGTAAAGCACATGATGCGCAAAGCTCATGTGCCTTGCTCTTTCAGCAGGATATAGCATGTAGAAATTTAAAGAATAGAAGTTGCCATCAAAAATCCTGCTGTTCATTCTCCTTCTTCATTTCTTAATTATAAAGCAGAGAAGTTATTGGAGGAAGGGCCAACATTTTACAGAGCCCGTTGTGATCTAGATGATCAAAGGATGAGTATGTACTCTTTATTCCCTCTGGTTCTGTAGATTAAATGTAACCTGGAAACAGTCTGTACTATCCTTTCCACAGAGACTTATCTTTGAAATCCAGCTACTTTCTTTATCGCCTCATGGTAAAAGAAAGGCAGTGAAAACTATCCCAGCAATTGTCTTCTGAATAAAATGGAAAGATAGCACTATGTAATTCTCAAGAGAATGAAGAGCTGGATTCTCTTTACTTGGAAAAGAAATGTCAAATTTTAAAAGTTATGTAAACTTGTGGCAAGATGTAGGCATGTCTCAGATGAATCATCATAGGAAGGAAGCTGAGTCAAGTCAATGGCAGCCAGGATCCTTAGCTGAAAAGAAGGGGACACCTCCATCCTTCCTGTGACAGAAAAAATCCACAGTGATCTTTCCACAGTTTCTGTCGCAAGATCAAGATCTCTGTAATGGTGACAGCGGTTTTGAATAGATTGGTGAATTTCCATGAAAAGATTACAGAAAGACAACCCAAAACGCATGCCTGGGTAAAGGCTGGCAATAACCCATCAGAGATTATCCAGAAGACCCTTCAGGCAGGAGCTGCGCTGTGTTAGGCATGCAGAGGTTCTGCAGCTGTATGGTGTGCGCAGCCAGGCTGGGGCTCTGTGCACCACTCTGTGTGCTCTGTACCTCTGGGCTTTCAGCAGGGATGAGCACAGCAGACTAAGGCAGATGGTTTTATTGATCTGCTCTACGTGGCAGTCCTGGACTGCACTCAAGACATACAGCAAAACAAATACATTATGGTTGGTTGGTCGGGCTTTCTCTCTAGGCTAGGATTTGAAAGAATACAGTATGTCTGATCCTTCAGAAATGAGCTTGCACTGAGTCTGAGGATGGAAAAGACTCACTTTTTTCACTTTTTTTCTGCTAAGACTATTTCTGGACAGATCCTAGCATTTCATCAATGCAAATCAGTATTTCCACCCACAAGAAATAAGAGCTTAGAGCCAATTCCCCTGTTATTATTTTGTAGTTAAATTGTAAAATCACTGAGAGGCATCAATCAGGACTGGATTAGCGTAATGCCAGGCAAAAAAACAAACAGAACTAGATCACAGTTCCTGTCTCTGATCCCTCCCCCTGCCAAGTTCTTATGGATTTTATATCATTTAAAAAATTATTTGCAGCTCAAATAGAAGGTGCCTATTTTGAAATACCAATTAATGTGCCTTCTCAGTGCATCTGCAGTACATTCATCCATAAAAAATGAGTTTTAAGTGGTATTTTGTGTAGGAAAGATCTAGGACATAACACAGATGTTTCTGGGAGGAAGAATCTCAGTGTTCATTATTAATCACAGCTCTCAGATATGTATAGAGTGGGCAGGATATATCACAGAGGAATAGAGTTAAACTGAGATGTGATGCTTTTTGGCATCTATACCAGGCACGCTTTAAAAGAAACAACCAAACACAAAAATCCCAAACCCCTCATGAACAGCAGCAGCAAATGGTCACTTCGGCAGAGGGTGAGTGGTAAATGTCATTCAGACAATAGTCATACAGAATGCCATTATTAGTCATATTTCATCTAATAATAATAACAATGAAACAGGGACTGAAATAAGTTAAAAAGTCACCTACCTGAGCAAGACAGGCACACTCTACTAAGAGTTAAAACAGAAAATATTTGGAGGCAAAAACAGTGGATGGTTGGGTGTCTGCGCATGCTTGTTCATGACAACGGTTTTCAGACCTTATAAAACATTAACAGAAGACAAACAGCAAAACTGTTCTTATGTTCCTGTTTACTCAGTCTGCCACATGAGTATGTAGAGTCTTCACATGTGACAGCAGCTTCTCTCAGACAGCTAGTGTTTTCTAGCCATCAAGAGGCATTTAAATAGTACCAGGAGGTATTAGCCATAAACATGGCTAAATGCAATACTGCAAACATGTTCATGTTAGATACAAACTTCTAATTGTTACTGCCCGGGTGCCATTGGAATAGATTTAAGACAAAGCTTTTTTGTTAAATTGATGTCTAAGCCACAGGTGGTAAATGGATCTAAAGTTTTTTCCATTTCCAGCACAAACAACTCTTTGATATGTGCAAGAGCTATTTACACTAAACAAGTAGTCACTCAGTAAACAGAAGCCCATCCTTATACCTGCCATTCATACAAAGCTAGCAAGACAACTTATCTGAGGCCCTCCTTTTTGCCTAAGTTCTCAGCAAGGCCTGGCAACGTTCATTTTTCCAACCAACACCATTTTTCTGTAGGTAACTCGGAGGCTCAGCAGCCGAGCAGAATCTGCTTCCAACAGTACCTGGCTCCAGCCTTTTGGGGTGCCTCAGGCGAAATGCCTTCACCCGTTCTGAAACAGATCTCGGCGGCCTCCTCGCTCTCCTCTGCACGAGACATTGGCAACAAAAGCAGTTGCTGAAGCTGAGTATCTTTTGCATTGCCTTCTCGGAAACCCTGCAAGAGGAAAATTAAGTGTTGGATCAAATAAGATTATTTTACTGGCTAGCCAAAGAGCTTAAAAAATACTGCCTTAAAAAAAATACTGCTGTCATAAGCACTTATTAAGCTTATAACACTTTGGTGAAGCAAAGTTAATTTGTAAAGTACTACATAATTCTGTTGCTAATCAAATAGTTTCTTTTTACATTTAAAATGAAAGAAAATTAGTATGCAACGATACACGTTTCAGGCTAGGCAAACCAGCTCCTTCCACAATGAGGGAAAATGGTGTTATTTGCAAATGTTTCTTTTTTTTTCATTATGTTTTCAAATATATTTTAAAGTATTTATTTTTATGGGAGTTAAATTGGAAATATATTCTGACTATTCTTTTTGAACACAGACGCCCTTTTTGAACAGGTTCATTCACACTCCATCTCTTCAGCCTTCCTCATATTTGTGATAGTGAGGAGGATTCCAGAACTCAGGGCATGCTTGTTACTGTTGCTCATCTAAAGTAAAGCTTATGTCACTGGGTGGTTCTCTCAAGAATTATATTCAGTTAGCTTTATACACTGTATTAACACTAAAGAAAACAAGAAAAGCATCAGTGACATTTATGTTGTGCTGACAATGAACAGTAGGTTGCAGTATTGAGGAACATTTTTAGCAATGTGACAGCTGCTGCTAAGTAATTAATACTTTTTAATTGGAAAAAAAAACACCATGTAAGGTAAGATTATATGAAAATATGTGAGACTGAACCTGTGGATCCACATATGTAATTTTAAGGTTTTCTTCTTGTTTTTTTTTTGTTTTGTTTTGTTTTGTTTTGTTTGTTTGTTTGTTTGTTTTTTTTGGGGGGGGGCTATTGGTTCATGACTACTGTACTTCACTTCTACAATAATAATGATTTATAACAAATCATCTTTTCTAAAACCGAAGATAAATTTTCAGCAAAACAATGCATATTGTTTAATGCTTCCACAGTTTGACCATACTAAATATCACAAATAAAAAAAGAACACACCAAGGTTTCATTGAAGGATGAAATATGAAGTTCAACATGACCACCATTGCTCACTGAAAGGTTGCAGCCTTGCAATCAGAGCCTTCAAGTATGTTTTTTTGTCTGTCATTGCTGAGTAGGTAAAGAGCCTATGTGTCATGTGTCTTATTTTCCATGAGAATTATATAATGCAACAACAATAAAAAAAATCATAGGAAGATAGCTAGGATAATGTGGAAGTTATTCCATTGGATAATACTGAGATGAAAAAGGATGAAGAAACCAAGTATTTCTGGTTAAAGATTAGAGTATGTATGGAAGTAGAATGTGAACTCAACAAGAACTTCATTCATTTATCATTAATGTACTAAGGGAAGACAGAATTGAAAGCAAGTTAAAGGACAGGTAAGTAAAGCAGGACTGATGGCATACCGAAGTGAAATGACACAGCTCATAGAAACACATTTTGTAACTGACAGAATAGGTTAAACTTTGAGTGTGATATAGGTTAAAGTGACACAGAAAATCAAGTCAGGTGATTATTTAACTGTAACTGTAATATCCCACCAAATAACTGCAATATCCCACCAAAACAAATCTAGGAAACATTTTGTTAGTGAGCACTTCAAGCCTAGATATCCAATATAATTATTTAAAAAATACAAATTTATGTGACAACCTAGGTGGTAGTATATATAGGACAGGAATGTTCTACCTATCACACATCTTCACATGCTGCGTCCAGTAGCCAAAATGTTGCTGATCCCTGAGGTACTTTCTGACATTTACAGTGTTGTATATGATATATTGTAAAGGGAGTAAAATACGTTTTAAAGAGAGTAAAATACGTTGTTTTTTGTTGTTGTTGTTGTTTGTTTTTTGTTGTTGTTTTTTAATAAAAACTAGATATAAGCCCTCTAAATTATGAGTGTGGCTCACAATTGTAGCTCTCCCTGCAGTTAATATTCAGGAACTATACAGAGAAGCAACAGGTCAGGCTTAAAAAATATTCTTGCAACTAAAATAAAACAAGGAATTAGGAATTCATAATTCATTAGACATCTTATCAGACACCCACATCCAGTGGATGATTAAAAAAAAACCACACACAACACTTTCTAATGTTTCTGAGCAGACAGAAATAAGCTAATGAGATTACAAATGTTTCTGCATTGCTGCACGAAGATATTCCAGCCAAGCTTCCAGTATGAGTGGATTTGCATGCCTGTGGGTAATGTAACCCACAGCTTCTTGAAAGGTATTCTTGCTTCTCTCCTTATGAAGCTACTTAAAGAGTATGAATATACAAGAACATGAGAGGTTGTATCAGGTGTCTCTTCTAGAAGGCGAAGGTCCTGCCTACATAATATTTATTCTTGATTTATTTTAATTAAATTTTTGCAGATTCACATTTACAAAATGTACACTAATCAAAGCATTCAAATTAGATGTTAAAATACAATGGTTAATAACAGAAGAATAACAGACAATGCCATGGGTGGTAGAATACTGTATGTTAAGACTCCATTTTCTTGAACTACTTAAAGTGCAAATATTATTTCCTATTTACAACATAGCTTAGCTGCTTGACATTCAGAGATAATATCTAACCTTGTTATTAATGCTATTGATCCTATAAATCTCCCAGGACAATCTTCACTGGACAGAACCTTGTCCTCAATTCTACAGTATTTGCTCTTAAGACAAGAAACACACTTGTTTATTCAAAGCTACTGCAGGATTCTTAGAGAAATAAATGTTGTAACAATAAAATATAACAAAGTGAAAAATCTTAAGCCCTTAAGAGTTTATTTATGTTAAAAGTTAAATACATTGCCATTATTTTAAACATATTTTCTAAACAGTTACCTAAAAAGAAGGAAGGAGAGAGGGCTGATTTAGCAATTGCTTATTACTGAAAATTTCAAAGCATCTAAGTTGATTTATCTAAATGAGTGGGAGTTAGTCAGAAAGACAGTCATGAAAATGCTAGACCCTATATGAATTTGAAATACTTTAAATAGCTTTAAAAAACATTCAAATTATATGCAGAACAACAAGGGTTAAAATACAGTGAAAGTAACACCGTTGAAAATCTTTGCAACTACATTCCTCAAGGACCACTGAAAGAGAAGGTATTTTATAGAGCTGCACCATATATTCTGTCCTGAAGATCTGGCATGTTACCAAAAGGAAATTAATTCACGACAAAGTACTTGTGCTATGAAAGCTGTTGCCTTTTCTGGAAAGCTCAGTTGTAGCAACCAGCAGCAAAAGACTCCCAACAGATTTTAAACTGCCGAGATCAGCATGTAGAGGTAACTGACTTTTCAGCTAGTCAGTGCTTTAGTGCTTTTTATCAGTTTATCCACAGTCACAAAGATGCTTAAATAGTATGCCTCAGAAATCCCAAATTAGGTAGTTTTATAGCATTTCTCTTTGAACGCAGTAAATGTAGTTGGTTTTGTGTGTGTTTTTCTTTTTTGGGGGGGAATAGGGTATTCTCACAAATTTTATCCAAACAGCAAAAATATCTTTGCTGTTTTCTATTTATCATAATTCCTTTTGAAAAGGGCTTTGTAGTAACAGATTGAGAGCTTGGCAACAACAAACTTACTTTTTAATGTCTGTATATGTTTGGACAAAACAAGACATATATTTTCCTTTGTGACTACTAGGATGATTTAACAGGTTAATTGCTGGAAAGAAAACCAAAAGAATGGACAGCTAGTTTCATCGTATAATTTTTCAAAACTGTTGTGAAAATTTGGATATGATTGTAAACTGTCAGAACAGAAACTTGGTTTTTATTACGTAAATCTGCACGTGACTTGTGCACCAAGCCACAACAAGCCTCTACTCAGCCCTGGTCAGGCCTCACCTGGAGTACTGTATTGCTCTTTTTGGACTCTACAGTGACTACAGAATTCAGACAACTTCATGTTGTAATTTTTCAGTCACAAACCAAGTCTGGGCTCCCCGGTACAAAAAAAGACAGGGATCTCCTGGAAAGAGTCCAGTGGAGGGTCACAGACAGGATACTGGGCCTGGAGCATCTCCTCTGGGAGGAAAGGCTGAGAGACCTGGCTCTGTTCGGCCTGCAGAAAAGAAGACTGAGAAGGGATCTTATCTATAAATACTTACGGTGTGGGAGACACAGGGATATGGCCAACCGCTTCTCAGTGGTCTGTGGGGACAGGACAAGGGGCAATGGCCACAAAATGGAGCACAGGAAGTTCCGCACCACTACGCGAAGAACTTCTTCACAGTGAGGGTGACGGAGCACTGGGACAGGCTGCCCAGGGAGGCTGTGGAGTCTCCTTCTCTGGAGATATTCAAGGCCCGTCTGGACGCCCACCTGGGCAGCCTGCTGTAGGGAACCTGCTTTGGCAGGGGGGTTGGACCCGATGATCTCTGGAGGTCCCTTCCAACACCTACAGGTTCTGTGATTGGATGGAAGGGTGGAAATATTCCAGAGACTTGGCTGAACTTGTATTAAGCATCATATGGTCAAAGTTGCTGATGGAAATACTTCAGAGAGAACTTGCTGTAGGGTTATGAAAGAAATGAGACGCTGCACCATCTGCAACACACGGCGCGTGAAGCGCAGAGACGCCGCGCGCCGCCCCTGACGCGAGTGGCCTCGAAGGCGGGAAGCGCCGCTGGGCCGCGCGCGCCACCCCGCCTCGCGCCGCGGCCGTTGCACCGCCGCCTCCGCTCCCGCCGCAATACGGTCACCACGGCAACCGCCCTGGCGCTGGTGCCGCCGCGGGGCATCCTGGGAGTTGTAGTTCCTCCCCGCCCGCTGCCCCCTGGCCGCGCGGTGAGCGAGGGTCCCGCCGGAACTCGCATCCCCACGAGGCGCCGCGAGGGCCGGGGCGGGGGCGGGGGCGCGGCGCTGGCAACCAAAGGCGGGCGGGAGGGCAGCGACCGGCCCTCAGCGGGGGCTGCGGTTCCCTCCGCGGGCTGTTGCTGAGGTTTTCCTCTCAGCTTCTCTTGGAGGGTGGAGGAGCTGAGGGCGGGGAGCGTTGCCGGCGCTGTGAGGGTGTGAGAGCCGCTATCGACGCGCTGCGCTCCGCTCGGGGCAGGCAGCGAGCGTGAGGCGGTGCCGTGTGGGGAAAGGCGCGCGGGTCAGCCTCGTAGCCGGGAGTTTATCCCTGGCTTCCATCTGGCGCTGCGCTGTGGCGCCTCGCGGAACGAGCCGGGGGGTTCTCGCCTCAGATTCAGCATTCGCCTTCCTGCGATTGTGGCCGAGTTTCTGGAGGGCTGGGTTTGGGCTCTCGTTGGGTGATACTACAAAGCGATGGGTGGCTCGCCACAACGTGCAGCGACCATGCTCGCCTGGCGAGGACAGTACAAATCCTGCTCTAGATGAAACAGAAAAGCAAGGAAGGGTGTCCCTGGGAAATACCGCTCCAATGGACAGCAGTAAACCAAGAAATGCACGCAGCATCACCTCCTCCTGCCCCCCTATTTTAAGGCAAATTGGAGTGGTTTGTGACTGAAAAATTACAACATGAAGTTGTCTGAAGACTGTAGAGTCCAAAAAGAGCAAGTTTTGGAGTCTGGGGAATAAGGATAGATAAGGTAATATCATATTTATTCTGGATGTTGTACGTAAATCCTCTTTCCAGAGTACATTATATGAGGACTGAGAGCATTGGATCCTGCTGGAAAGGCTTAGCAGCCCCTAACCCCTCACTGCTGCCACAGCACACGTCCAAGCAGTGTCCCCCCCCCCCCAGTCAAAGTAGTCCCCCAGCATTTTAAATACACATGCATTCTGCGGTTTGAAAACACAGGGTTGTTTTTTTTTTTTCTTTCCCGTTTTTTTCGCCCCCCCTCTTTCAGTTTTGATCCAAAGATAGAAATCTTAGCAAGAAGAACACCCGGGCAGCTTTTTTGCAGGAAGAACACGAAGGTGCAATACGAGAGCTGCAGCGGGGAGCCTTTGGCAGGTGGCGGTGACGCACAGAAGTTACTTTGCCTTCGGGAAGCAAAAAAGCCCTGTCTGCTGTTTCTGTAGGTGTATTTTTGTTATCTCCCTTCTCCCGCAAGAAGTTGCCGGGGCCGCGCAGCAGCGGGAAGCGGCGGCGGCTCGCCCTGGGCGGCAGCAGATTATGGTGGCAGCGCAGCGGGAGGAGCGGCGGCGGCGGCGGTAGCAGCAGCCCCGATTCGCGAATGCGTTTTGCATTTACGGTCGTCGCTGGCAAGTGCCACCTGAAGCTTCGGCAGCTGGGCAAGGACCGCTAACGTTTTAAAGGGGAAAACCCCGCCGGGGAAGGAGTTAACGGGAGGAGGGGGCAGCGCCAGGTTGTGTGCGTGCTTGTGGGGAGAGGGGATTGGTTATCATGGCGGATCGGACAGCTCCGAGATGCCAGCTCCGTCTGGAGTGGGTTTACGGGTACAGGGGTCACCAATGCCGCAACAACCTGTACTACACGGCGGGCAAAGAGGTAGTCTACTTCGTGGCTGGAGTCGGCGTGGTTTATAACACCAGAGAGCACAGCCAGAAATTCTTCCTAGGGCACAACGACGATATTATCAGGTAAGGGGGTTGACTTTTCTTGTGGTGGGGCGGGGTGGGGTTTAAAAGGAAGGGAGGAGAATGTAGGGCTGGCAGAATACCCCCCTCCTCGCCTCTCACAGCTCCGCTTGTACCTGGCGTTTTAAAGCAGCTCAGATTTGTTATCAGCTGTCTGGGTAAAAGCTGGGTATCTAGATTTGATTATTATTAGCACAGCTTCAAAACGTTGCTATAATAACACAGAAGGTAAGTTTTTCTGTTGCACTGCACCAAAGGCAAAATAGCTTATTTCTATATAGAAATGCAGTGGGAAGATCTTAGTGCAACAGTGCTGCAAAATTGTGGATCCAGCAGCTAATCTCCCCAGCGCTGGGAACCTGTATCACCGATTCTGATGTCTTAGATAAGGAAGGTGTATTTCTCTTTACACCCAGCACAAGAGTGCCATAAACATACCATTCTGAAAATTTCCCTGAAAAATCAAGTAGAGCTGTTGGTACTCCAATCAAAATAATTCCAAGTGTGCTGGTGCAAGATGGCTACAAAAGCACAGGTCTTGCTACTGATCTGGCTAATTTCTTGTCTCTTTCTTCCAATTTCTGCTTAAAAAGTGAATTTAATTGATGTTACCATACTACAGAAATACTAATTTTATTGCACCACACAAAGTAACACAACAAAAATGTGGTTCCAGAGCTCAAGATAGCCTTTTAAATAATGTGTTCAGAATATAGAAATTAAGTCAGTAAATAGAAAATTAATGTTGTCTCCACTCCTGCTCTATTCCTGACAAAAACCTGAAACTAGAATATCCTCATAAAGGGAGTTGCATGGTAATGACACTCCTTTGAGCACAGCTAGCTGCTGCCCTCCCTATTCACCTGAATTCAGCATGAATGAAGCATTTGCTTGATCAAAATAGTCCCAGGTGGCTCATGATGCGGTAGTACTGTGGAAATATATGCTGAAGTCAGAGTTCTGACACTGGGTAACAAAATCACATAATTGTCATATAATCATTCTGGAGTCTTGTTTACAGAAAACCATCCACTTTTCCCAGTGAGAGCTTGGCTGCCGTGTCTCCTAGTAGCGTTTTTCTCCTCCCTTTTATGATCTGAGTTAAAGCAGTGCCATTTCAAGAAAATTCGGTGCATGTGGTTACAAGTTTATTGTGGTTTCCAAGGTGTTACCACTTCCAGAAGGTTATTCAAACAGACTACTATGTATTCAGATAATTAAGAGAGGAATGACTATTTCAGATGCATCCATGGTATCATGAAATGCAAGTTTTCTTTACTGCAGGGACATAATTTTTGATACTCTAGGGGATATGAAGTGTAATCCATATAGAGAGCAGTATGTGTAAGCTAGTGTTTGAATTCTCAATAAATACTAGAAAGATAACTTGTCAAGACACAGCTGCGTATATCCCCTATTTTTTTATACTTGATAACACTTCCCTGCCAAACCCAACTGTGTTGGACAACTTCTGTGCCTTGTCTTTTAAAACATCTCATATTAGGACACTAGAGCTTAAAATGGGAATAGGAAGATTGTGAGTGCCTTGTATTTGTACTTTGATACTAACTGTGCTTGGTCTACATTTTTTTTTAATTTTAAGAAAACTAGCAATCACCTGTTCAAATTAGCAGGTGTTTTGGGGATTCGTTATCTGTTCAGTTAGTGTTTAACTAATGCTTTTGAATGAAGAGTTTTGTTTCTGATCCAGGTCAAGATGAGAATTCTCTAGGATGACCATAGTTTCTGTAAAGGATGAAATGTTTTGTCCCAGAAAGCATGAACAGGGCCCAAGATGTCAGTTGATTTCCATTTTTAGTGGCCAAGAAAAGTTGCTGTCATAAGGGTTTTAAGGAAGGAAAAAGTTGTTGTTGAAGTGTCTCCAAAATGTTGCTAGAATATTCTATTGTTGACATCTGTTAATGTTTGCCTCTTCTGCCTTTGATGCACTTTGTAGACCTTATTGAGGAATATCCCATCACTGTCAGTACTTTAAAGTCAGTGGTTCCTTGTATTGAGTATTGCTGATATATCTAATAAATGCAGGAATTTAAATGATCGCACTTCAGGCTTCACAGAAGCCTGAAAAGAAGAAGAAAAAAAAAACAAAAAGGAAGAAAAAGTAGAACTTGCAGACTGGAAAAGATTGCGGAATCATTAAGACTGTAAATCCTTGAAGTGTGCAGAACCCCTTCCAGTGGTTGCCATTAGCTCGTCCCATGCTGAAAGCTTTCAGCAAATACTAGTTTGTGGAAACAAATGATGAAGCCATTATTCAGAGGGTTGAGAACATGTGCGTTACCTTAAAATGTTTGCTACAACCATGAAAGCAGATACCTTCCCTTGGTGAAAAGGTCACATGTAAAGGCGTATGCTCACTGTTTTCACAATTTTAATAGTCTCATCTCTTGCTTTGTATCAAGGTAATGCAGTTGGATGTAATTTAATTTTGGCTATAATAGAGCCAGGCTATTGGATTAATGGAGAAATGATTTATATATGAAAAGTTCCCTTTGTATAAGGGACTTAATGCACTGCACTTGGCTAGTAAGGTAGATGTTCAGGGTGTGAACAAGGGTATGAACAAGTGAGTTCTGAAGTTCATTTCTTGTGTGAGGCAACTGCAAGGTGCTGTACTTCCGAGCTCATCCTCCTTTAAACTTCCTAATGAGATACAGTTCTGGACTGCAGAGTTTAACTTTGAAGTGAGTTCTGCTTTGTGGAGGGGTTGGACTGGCTGCCCTCCAGAGCTCCCCTTCAAGCCTAAAGCATTTTATGATTCTTTTGTTACTTCCCATCATATAATGTAATTCTTCTTGTACATTATTTAATTATTTCTGAATAGCTAATGCTATTGTTTATCAAGTACTGTCATTATAAAACAGGATGAGAGCATGTGGTTGAAATGGATAGATTTGGTTCTGGTCTCTGACTACTAATGAGTTGTATTTGGACCCTAAAAATGCATGTCAGTTATGAAGTTTGCAGCTTTGATGGTCAAGTATGACCTAGCAGCCTGGGGGGGTGAAGGTCAGAATATTCCTGTTTTCTCTAAGCTGAGAGTCCTGTGTTTTACTCTAATGCCTATACTACAGACCACAAAGCAATCCTGAAGTTGCTTGCATGGTGGCTCTGTTTGTTCTTGAAACGTGATCTAGCTGAAGCATCATAGCTGATGTGTAATAGCTATGTCCAAGTCTAGCTATTGCAACATTTTCACGTAGAAAGGGTAGTACAGATTGTCATTACGCACATAACTTACTTTCATTGAATTTGGTCATTTGTGTTCTACAGGATTAGATTTTGGAAGTTGGAGACTTTTCCTTCCTGAGTAACTTAGAAGTGGGCTTTACAGCAGGCCATTGTAATGGCTGTAAGTTAACATCTCAGCAAGAATGTTGCATCCGTGCAGTGTTACTGCCTTCAATGAAATTCATGTAGGATTTATGTTTAGTATTACTGCTTGCAAGACTGGATCATAAGTTTTGACTGTAATTGAACTCTTGCAAAAAGAACAGGTTTTCTTACTCTTATTGTGTGTTACTTTTATAACAGCAAACAATTAGATGTTTCCTTTTTTTCATTGCCAATAATGTCTGCAATATTGAACAGTTTTCCTGGATATACAAAAACTCACGGAGAGAACACCTTTTACATTGTACTGAAGACTTCATCTACAATTAGTAGGTTTCTCATTGTTTCTACCTTACATTCTGAACGAGATTGTGAGTTGTTAAGAACAACTTAATAATGATACGACACTTATGTTTAACTTGACAGATACCTTCATGTATATGATATGTTGTGGTATTATGCAGTGTGGTGTATGGATGTGGTATATGTTGTGGTATTATGCACGTTATATCACATTATGTGATTTTTTTAAAAAAATCACATTTCACTTTCTAACTGGCTTAAAACAAGTCACCTGTAAGGCAGGGAGGGAGCTGCACAAGAGACTGCTCCCTTTCTCAGGCATCTCTGTGGTGTTTGCTGCCTGGGCGTGTTACCTGGAAAGCCAGCCTATTATCTGTGGATACCAAAGCATGTTGTTTATGTAAGGCTGCTTACGATGTAATAGCGAGGTAGGATTTATCAGAATATTGCTGTAAGTATGCTGGTGTACGTGTTCTACTGTGCTGACAGATTGAGATTAAAAATGCGGATGTGCCAATAGTTATGAGATTTACTTTGCTGTGAGAATGACTGGGGGCCTGGTTTGTTCTTTAGAGTGCTCTTTTCAAGAAGCTGGATTCTTATTAGAACATGACTGTTTTCTTGTCTTTCTGGAGTTGGGGAAAAAAGAAATATGATTGCTTGAGGCAATGTCATATGTTGTTGACAATAGTAAATGTAATTTTGGAATAAGTAAATTGATGGCAGAGGTTCGCAAATGAAACCCCCAAAGTGAAAATACCAAAAATGTACTTGAATAGTTTTATTCAAATTTATGTATTATAATATTTATGTTTATAGAGGGTGCTTATTTGAGTGGCTCTAAAATAATTAAAATTTACGTAGAATTGCCACCTTCTTGATGGCAAGTTACAGCATTTGTTTCCTATAAAATGATACTCAAGTTAATGTTTTTATTTCTTGTAATTGTATGGAAAATTGCACTGTCTGTAGCTTGTGTTTAACCTGGACTTAAGTCACAGGACAGGCTGAAACTGTCCTTCTTCAGGACAGCTGAAACTTAGCAACCAAAAAAATAGGAAAGTAGCAATGAAGCCAAATGAGACTTTTAACAACAGAATTTCCAGATGTGTTTCCTATGCAGGTGCTATACAGGTACCAAAGCAAAGCCATTACAACTTGAAAAGCAGGATTGTGGGACAGCTAGGGTGAAGCAGTCTGAGATCTGAGTATACCAGAGTGATTTGGGAAGTGTTTTGAGACTGTAGGTTGTTAAAGGATTTTCTTATTATGGAAATCCTTACCCCAGAAATGCCCAAAAGAAACTAATTTTATCAGCTTATGTCTTATTCTACATTCAGTTTCAA